AAGAAAAAAAAAAAAAGCCTCACTGTTTTTAATCAAAGTTCAGAAAAAATTTTGGATAAAAGTTTCAATTTAGTAAATTATGATTTCTCCCTTTATAATAAAATAAATACAATATATTAATAATTTAATATCTCCAGAAAATATATTTTAAGTAGTAAAATCAGTTAAAATGTTTATATTTAATTGAGGTTGTGACAAGGTTGTGACAATATGATTGTAATAGAGCACTCTGGTATTTAATAGTGTATCAGTTTAGAAATATTAGATTCATATTTAGGATGGTGAAATATTTGTTTATAGTTCGGTTTATAAAAATGAATTATAGAATTTGAACTTTTAGAAATTGCATAAAAAGGTTCTGCACAAGAACAGAAAAGCGAGTATCCAATGTACTCAATACTAATATGAAGCCAGTAGGCAAACTAATACATGCCCACGGGAGAGAAAAACTCAATTTAATTCAAGGTGGGGGAGGAGGAAGAGTGGAGAGAGAAGGAGGGACACGATTGGTGTGCTCCCACCTAATCGGCACAAGGTACGGTTATACAGCACACCTCCTGGGTGTGGGACACAAGGACAACAGGGACTTCACCTAACAAACTCAAACATTGTAACCTAATCATTCCTACCTTCATATTAAACTGAAATTAAAAAAGAGAGAGAGAAAAGAAAATGTTCTGCCTCTGAGTTTCTTCCTGCAGCTCCACATATTTTGTGACTGACTTAATGTATACTGTGTTCATTACATTATACATGAGTGTTATATACTATCTGTGTATGTATGTATAATAAAGTACTATTTTATAAAGGCCAAATCTCTACTGTTGTTAACAGAGCATAGTGGTGATGTGTCATATATGGTTATAGAAAACTAGGTAGTTATACCACTTTGAAAATACATTTGTTCAGCTTTTACCTGGTTTTAGTCTCTAATTGGTTGTTTTAGAAGGATTTTTTTTTTTTTTTTTTTTTTTTTTTTGAGACAGAGTCTCAAGCTGTCTCTACCCATGGCTGGGTAGAGAGCCATGGTGTCACAGCTCACAGCAACCTCAAACTTTTGGGATTAAGTGATTCTCTTGCCTCAGCCTCCCAAGTAGATGGGACTACAGGTGCCCGCTTCAATGCCTGGCTATTTTTCTTATTGTTTTTGTAGCAGTTGTCATTGTTTAGCTGTCCCAGGCTGCGTTTGAACCCGCCAGCTTCGGTGTATGTGGCTGGCTCCCTACCCACTGAGCTATGGGCACCGCCCAGATTTCTATAATCTTTGTAAAATCTAGCTGCCAATATTTCTGGGAAACTCTGAACAATTCTTATTACAAAATAAAAATGCGCATTTCTACCAGAGCTCCCAGTACTTCACTAGCCAAAAGCCAACAATATCATTTTTGCTTCCTAGGTGGGAAAGCAACTCCTTGCTGGTGGCTGACAATTAGGGAAGCCATGATTTTCCTCTGGGAATAGCAGTTGCTTAACCACACTGCTACTGTTCTTACCCTTTGTCTTCAGGTCTGACATCTATGGGGAAGTGCATGTGTGTTTATGTGTGTGTGGTATATGCACGCGTGTTGCCAGGTGTGCTCTGGTGTGGTGGAAGGGCAGTCTACTAATACCGCCTCTTATTTGGAATTCATTAAAGGGACCCAGTGCTCTTACATTATGTGTTCAGTATTTGCATATCTTCCCTTGTGCTTTTGTTTTTTATACCCTTCTCTCTCTCTCTCTCTCTCTCTCTCTCACATACACGTTCAGTACAATTCAGAAATATCCTCATACTATGTTATGAACATAAATTTGAATTGCAAAAATTGACAAACCTAAAGAAAAAAATACATATATATATATACATCACATTTTAGATATTAAGTATCCCATAGGTCAAAGTGACCCAACATAAAAGAAACCTCTTCCTATTGTAAATTCTTTCAGTAAACTATTAGATTCCCCAAGTTACAAGATCTAAATTTGGAGATAATTATCCTGGGCCATTTGCTTTACATTCACTATCTGATTTTAAATGCACTACTTAATCAGATGTAAACAAAACAAAACAAAAGTGATATTGTTCCATGAAGGACTCTAATTTTTCAAGGTCATATATCTAATAGGTAATTTAAATATAGGTACCAGATTTCAAAGTCTCTGCTTTTCCCGTAATTGCAGGTTACTTCCCTTTAGAAAATCGATCTAATGACCAGGTTTCTGCAAAATCTGCATTCAATTAAATTATGAAAAATATTACCTGAACTTAAGAAAAAAGATTAATTTTCATGTTAAGAATTAAATTAAATTGACCATCTTATGGATAATAAGATTACCTGCAAAACGAAGAATGAAATGCTATCAACTATTTATAATAGAAAGTTTAATAACTAATTGTTGCCTTTGGTAAGAAGTAGATTTGAAAACTCACTTGAATATTGTCAAACTTTTTGTCAGATTAATCCTATCTATTCACACAATGTGATATATATTATCTGGTTTGGATGAAACAGAAAGAAAATTTGTAAAAAAAAAACATTTTTAATCTTCTCTTAAACCCTAAACCATTTGAAAAAGTATCTTTAATATAATTGTGTCATTAAATCACAAAAATGGAAATTACGTTAACAGCAGGATGTTATCTTTTATTGAGGGCAAACAGCAGGGTTGCTGCTAATGAGAACATCATCAATTTATCAGCAAAAGGTCAGCTTAAAGAGCTCTTTACCCAACTTCTCCCTAAGTAGTTTTTTTTTTCTTTGAAGGCATACGGCACTGCTGCTAGACACATGTGTATGTGACTATAATATTATGAATCGTTCTCTATTATGACCAAAAATATATAATTGCAAGATATACATTGAGCAGGACATGTTACTCAGAACTTAATTTCCTTCCTTATAAAGAATATTAGAGTAATTATAGTGATGTTTTGTTGCCAATCCTATTTTTTAACCATTATCCAATCATCTGTTGATGGAAACTTAGGTTGATTCCATTTCTTTGCTGACTATTATTATCTTCTTTTAAAAATGAAAATATCTAAAAATGATTAGAGATCAAAAAAGATAAGATAGATGAGGGAAAAGTGAAAAAATGCTCTTGGTGAAGAAATCACCATGAGCAAAATAACAGCAAGAGGGGCCGACTGATGTACATCTAATATGATTGGTGGTGGTTTGTGCTTTTTAAAATTTCAGATTAGTAGGAGGGTACACACAATTAGGTTACACTGTTTGCATTTGTAATGATGTCTGAGTTGCAGTTTTGTCCTTCCCCCAGGAAGTGTGTCATAAACCTGAACATAGTACCCATTGGGGGAAAACTATCCAACCCACCCTAGCACCCTTCTGGAATTAAATTGAGTTTTACTCTCATGTAGGCCTGTAGTTGTTAATCTACTAGTTAATATGAAATACATCCCTAATCATCAGAGAAATGTACTTTTTTTTATATATGCTTGAGTGTTTTGGAAACGAAGGTATTGGCATGTAAATATGGAGTGTAGAATAAATATGTTTGTATTTACATACACAAATATTTAATTTTGGGTTTTTTCTTTTTTTTGGAATGTATCTTTATTTTAAAAATAGAGGCTCAGTACCTATGGCTCAAGTGGCTAAGGCCCCAGCCACATACACCTAAGGTGGTCAGTTCAAATCCAGCCCAGGCCCACCAAAACAACAAGGACGGCTGCAACCAAAATATAGCTGGGTGTTGTGGTTGGCACCTGTGGTCCCAGCTACTTGGGAGGCTGAGGCAGGAGACTGCCTTGAGCCCAGGAGTTGGAGGTTGCTATGAGCTGAGATGCCAGAGCACTCTACCCAGGGGGATAGCTTGAGGCTCTGTCTCAAAAAAAAAAAAAATAGAGAGGGGTCAGAGTGGAGCAAGATGGCCAAATAGAGACCTCCGTGATCATCACTCTGCATGAATACCAAACTCAACAGCTACCCACGCAAGCAAGCATCATCAGAAGAAATGAAAGTCAGGTGGATGATCATATTATCCTGTTTTAACATTGTATCAAGGAAATACTCACTGAACAGGGCAGAAAAGACAATCTTGTATTGCCTGTGTCACCCTTCTTCCAACCTCCATCAGTGTTACACCAGCAGGCCAGCTGGAGAGAGAACATGTACACAGGGGAGGGAGCATGAAGGAATTTTGAAACATTATTGAATCTCAGGGCCATCTTGGCACAGGGGTATAAAGCACAATGCAGAATAATTGTGTTGGTGCCTAAAGAGGGAGCATTTAGATTAGCCTGGCCAGAGGAAAATCTCCTGACTGAAATCTGAGTTCCAGGTATCTCATCACTGACTGAAAAAGGAAGCCTGGGTCTGGTTAAATTAGTAAGGTAGTTGGGCTGCAAAAACTAATCCTTGGGCACCTCCTGTAGCTATACTGGCCCAGAATCAGGGGAATCCAGGTGCATATGGTCCAATGAGATACCAGCAGCAGCAGCCAAGCCTGTGTCACCCTCCCCAACTCTAGGCAGTCCAGGGGATGGATAGTCTTTGTCCACTTGGGGAAAGGAAAGGAAGCACTCAAAGAACTCTGTGGAGTTTTGTTTGTTTGTTTGTTTGTTTTTGTATAGAAAGAGGGATTTGTTATTGGTAGGTGCAAATGATAGGCAACACAGTATAAGTTCTCATGAGTTCAGGGCCCACCACTTGTCCATATGGGCCACAACTGGGGATGTATTTGACCCTACAGCCATTCGAGATCAGTTGCTTCTCAGCCATCATGTCTTCAAATTCATCTGAGTTAAATTTGGTAAAACCCCCTTCTTGGAGATGTGAATCTTCTGACGGCCAGGAAACTTGAACTTGGTCCTGTGAAGGGCCCCAATCACATGCTCCTTTTTCTATAGTTTGGTGCAGATGGACGCAATGACTTGGCCAATGTGAACCCTGGCCATAGTGCCCTGGGGCTCTCCACAGTCACCACGCATATCGTACCCGTCTGAAGCCTAGATTGGAGCCAGCACAAGGTCTAACACATGAACATGGATTGGAAAGGAATGTCTCCAAGATCCCTTAGAGCTACCTATACAAGCAACAGGCTGCATACACTATCAAGGAGGTTACTGTTTGCAGCCATTGCACACAAGGTCCCCATGAGGAAAGGACCATAGTTGGCTTAATTAGCTTTGGGCAGAGAATTTTGTTTTGCAATTTGCGTATCATCTCAGACACTATAAAATAAAATATCAAACATTGTCTTGGAGTGCCTGAGTGTAGGCCTTGACTCCTGGATGGTATTTCTGGACCCACACTAGAAACATGCTTCCCTGAAGGGAAAGATTCAGCCCTGGCATACTACCCACATCCTGACTAAAGGGCCCCTGTGTGTTGAATAAACATTGGAGGTAGCCAGGAAACAGTTACCATGGGCTTTGAGTCACATTAGGCCAGCTTCATCTGTGACTTGGTGCTGGAAGCCAGGAGGGAGAGCCTACATCATTCCTCTAGCAGCCAAGCTCAGAGAGTGAGGGAAGAGAGTGAGAAATTTTGCTTGATAATCCAGGAAATTCTGCTGTCTCACCCAAGTCCACCCAGGCAGATGAGATGATTTTATATTTATAGAAACTTAAAGACTCCACTTCAAAAGTGTTACGTCTGATAAGCAAACTCAGAAAAGTTGCAGGATTCAAAATCACTGTGCAAAAATCAGTTGCATTTCTATATGCCAACAGTAAAAAATCTGAAAAAGAAACCCGGGAAACAATCCCATTTATAATATCTACAAATAAAATAAAACACCTAGGAATAAATTTAAACAAGGAGTGAATGATTTTTGTAATGGAAACTATAAATCATTGATGAAAGAAATTGATGAGACCAAAAAAAAAAGAGAAGGCTATTCTATTCTCTAACTCTTGATTAGAAGAATCTATATTGTTAAAATATCAATACCACCCAAAACTATCTATAGAATTAATGCAATCCTCATCAAAATACCAATGATGTTCTTCAGAGACAGGAAAATCAATCTTAATATTTATACAGAACCAAAAAAGACCCAGAATAGCCAAAACTATCTTGAGCGAAAAGAACAAAACTGGAGGAAGCACATTACATGACTTCAAATTATACTACAGAGTTACAGTAACCAAAACAGCAAGGGACTCTCATGAGAACAGATACATAGACGAATGGAACATAATAAAGAACCCAGAAATAAATTCATCTATAGTGAACTTATTTTCAACAAAGATACCAAAAGCACACAGTGGGGAAACAGCAGTCTCTCTAAGAAGTGGTGGGGGGAAAACTGGATATTCATATGAGGAAAGGGAAAGTAGACCCTTATCTTTCATCATACACTAAAATAAAATTAAAATGGATTACAGACTTAAATCTAAGACTTGAAACTATAAAACTATTTAAGGAAAATATTGGGGAAAACATAGTGATAGTTTTACTGTGTTATTAATGTCCTTTTCTATACCTAGCTATAGACATTAATAGGACATACCTACCTGTTCAATTGTTGTGAAGATTATAAATAGTATTATAAGAGTGTTTAAATTGTTTATCCACAGTTATAAATATGTTACTAGAAAGTTAGTTTTCTTTCTTACCCTTTGTTCAGTATCCCATACACGGTTTCGAAGAAAGAGCACTCATGACTTCCTGACTCCATCACACCCATTGATGGCTCATTATAATATCAGATATAGATTCCTTTTCCATAAACTAAAAGAGGACTGAATTAATACAAACGTGATATATATATATATTACATTCACTTTTGATGTCATTCATTTACTTTAATTCTCTGCCTCTGTTTCTGCATTGGACAAAGGAAACAGCCCTCCTCTATGCTGAAAGAAAACTAAATATATTAGGCAAAGTTGGAATTCTGAGTTTTTACACAGAAGAGTACTAGAGTATAATATTTCTGGAGTAATGCACTTTTCACATTTTTTGGTGTGTGTATGTTTGTATGGCTCTTCTTCTCTGTGTGATTTCAGAAATAATTTATGCAGACTTAATGACTACAATTTCTGCAAGAACATCACTTAGAATTTCAAATCAAAGATGCTTACATATTTGGAGAAAGATATTTTCTTTTCCAAACATATTAAATAATTTATTAGTCAAAATCATAAATCTTTTTAATTTGAACAGAGATTTTGGGTTAAGTCAGTATTAATGACTGCATCATGTACGAGTTAGCATAGGTCATGGTCTTTAAATCAGAGATTTTGATTCTGGGGTATGTGCTGAATAGAACTTCATTTTACCAAAAGATATTACAACCGTTAGAGATTACTGTATGAAGGTAAAGGTACAGAAAATTGTGCACATCTCAGAGCTTCATGCCACCTGTTTTTCTAGAAATAAATAAGATTATAAAAGTAGACACAATTATATCATTACAATTAAGGGGAAATTGTCAACATATTGTCTTTGTAGCATTTTATTAAATCAGTTACTTATGTAAGATTTAATCTTTAGTCTGAAACTTCTTTGCACCAATGGCAAAATATATTGATATAACTTGAAGAGCACTTAATAACTTATAGTATCTTGTCGGGCATCTAGTTGACCCAAACCTAAGACAGTGACAGCAAGGGAGACAGTACTGAGGAAAGAAGGAAAATCACACCAAAATTAGTGCATAAAGCCGAGAAAGCCTGTAAGGGCATACACTGTTCCATGTGCCTGATGACAGCATGAAAACAATGCAGCACCTATCCTGTATCCCACAGCCTTTTTATTGAGTAAATAACAGAGTATACATGCAAGGATGCACAGTCGTCAGCAGGCAGCAGTCAAGGTTAAAAATGAGAGGGGAGAATACAGCCCTCAGGAAGGTTGGGTAAAGGATAAACAGGGACATAGGGTAATGCAACATCTGAAGAGGCCAGAACATGGTGCAATGAGAAGAGAGGGGGGAAAGAGCAAGTCTCCACCTCAGACAGACATCTTAGCTTCTCTAGTCCAAGCTACTAGAGGATAGTTGCAGCTGCCTGCACTGCTGATTTCCCCATGCGGGGATAGTCACATAGACATTCCTCTGACCCTCACCTTCAGATTCCTTTCTTCTCAATTAAGAGTAGGGGAGTCACCCACCTGCAGGCTTTACCCTGGCTTGTGAAGGACCATGAGGTCTCAGCTTGTGTATTCCTACAATATCTTAATCACATGAGTCTGAAAATAGGATTTATAACAAGTATAGGTAACAACAACAGAAATTGAAAAATGTGTCTCCAACCTAACCTATTGTATTTCCAATGTAGGTATTACCCTACTGCAGATGGATAGACCCATATATCTAGAGTTAAAAGACCTAAAATTTCTGAAATGTTCTGGCTTGCCTAATCTATGCTAACATAAAAGCAAGATTCACAGTGTTAGGAAGGACTTACAAAATACAAGAGATCAAAGCATTCATCTTTCCTTTTTCTTTGGTTTGTATCCATAATTTTTTCTTTTTTTTTTTTTTTATTAAATGTTAGCTGTGTACATTAATGCAATCATGGGGTACAGTGTGATGTTTTCATATACAATATGAAATATTTTCATCAAACTGGTTAACATAGTCTTTATGTCATTTTCTTAGTTATTGTGTTAAGACGTTTATATTCTACTTGTAGAAAGATTCACTTGTACCCTTGAAAGATAAACCATAGAGGTGATCCTTCCAATCACCCTCCCTCCACCCATCCACCCCTTCCTCTCCCCTCTCCTTCCTTCCCCCTCCACATATTCTTAGGCTATCATATAATTTCATATGAAAGCTATAAATTAGTTTCATGAGAGGGCTGTGTACATTGGATAATTTTTCTTCCGTTCTTGGGATACTCTGCTATGAAGAACATTTTCCAGCTCCATCCATATAAACATGAAGGATGTACAGTCTCCATCATTCTTTATGGCTGCATGGTATTCCATGGTGTACATATACCACAGTTTGTTGATCCATTCATGGATTGATTGGCACTTGGGCTTCTTCCATGACCTGGCAATTATGAATTGGGCTGCAATAAACATTCTGATACAAATATTTTTGTTGTAATGTGGTTTTTGGTCTTCTGGATATATACCTAATAAAGGAATTGCAAGATCAAATGGCAGGTCTATTTTTAGTTCTCTAAGTGTTCTCCAGCTGTTTTTCCCAAAGGAATGTATTAGTTTGCATTCCCACCAGCAGTGTAGAAGTGTTCCCTTTTCTCCACATCCACACCAGCATCTTCTCTGGTTTTGGGATTTTGTGATATGAGCTAATCTTACTGGAGTTAGGTGATATCTCAAAGTAGTTTTGATTTGCACTTCTCACCATTAAGGATGGTGAGCATTTTTTTTTTTTTTTGCAGTTTTTGTCCAGGGCTGGGTTTGAACCCGCTACCTCCAGCATATGGAGCTGGCACCCTATTCCTTTGAGACACAGGTGCCACCCCTGTATCCATAATTTTTGCCTAATTTATGAGTATTTTTCCATCATAGTCAGAATGACCTACTACACTTCTTGGCTCTATTGCTTGGTAAAGAGATTTAAGCAGAAATCAAAATACAAGTTCTAAACCTGGATTGGGGAGATTATTTGTGTGTAGGTTTCCATTTGTAATTTTGTGTTCCTGTCAGTAGCTTGATGACATGCCTAGGATAGGCTATTTTGCTGTCCTGGGAGGAGAATTTGGGAAGTATGATAAAAAGTTTCTTTTGTTCTTTAACCTAGTGTTGGTTGAAAGGTGTGCAGCTGAAACTATTACCAAAGAAGGCATTAAGCTCCCAGAAAAGTGTCAAAGAAAAGTATTCCAAGTGAGAATGGTGGCTGTTGGATCAGGTTCTAAATTTCAGGGAAGCGAGATTTAACCAGTTAGTGTGATAGTTGGAAATTAAGTTCTTTCCTTGAAATATGGAGGCACCAAGGTAATTCTAGATGACAAGTATTTCTTATTTAGAGATGGTGACATTCTTGGAAAGTATATAGACTGAATATATCAGTATTGAAATGGCATCAACATGAAACTGTCCATTCCACTGAAGTTCTGAAATCTTTCAACATGTAAATAATTTCCATGTCTATCTTTTATAATAAACTAATGATTTCTAAACTGCCAACATCCAGTGTCTAAAATTTATTTCTACTGTATTGATATAAACATTTCCAAGTGAGAATATATAAATGAGAAAAAGAAAAC